GTATATAGGCCTATGTAAATGATGCTATAGGCTATAGGCCTATATTATTAATTCATCCTCATATTATTAATATCACATTAATATCTCTCTATCATTTATTTGATTGTAGGGGCCTGTATGCAAATACTTATATATACAAATAGGCTTAGATAAATATATGTGTATATACAGCCGTATTCAATCAAGTTAAATTGGATAATTGAAGTTTTTAATAATAAAATGTATGTAGATTAGGGCTGAGTAATCTGGTGTTGTTTAAGCTTGTAATAGGCCTATGTGCCCCTTTTTTGCCAAACGTGGTTTTTATTCACAACTCATTCCTTTTATACACAAAGCCTCCAAATGACATGTCACCTCAGCGGATCACCCTCATCGAAAGGGAACGATAACAAAAACACTTTCAATAATTCTAACACGATGATTACTTGTTAAATGATATGTTGACATCGGCAGTGTTGCGTGCCGACCACTCTCAACACCGTTAACATCTTAATCCTCGCTATAGCCAGTAACCATGTAATTGATATTTCCATATTATTTCCCGAACGCACCACGGTTTCTGGTGCTGGTTGGCAATTCAAATTCCAGTTGTATAAGTTGAATCACGCAGCCGTCAGCTGTATACCCTACACCTATGCGACACGGGCCCACACACGAGGCAACATACAAAATAATTATTGATAATGATAATAAATAGATAAGTTGATTTTTACACCTGCATGAAGAATAGCGCCATGAGCATAACCTTGCATCCTTAACTTTAAAGTTCTTCACCTCGGAGGCCTACCACAATAAGCTTTATTTGCCATTGGCCTATTATAATTATCATCTTCACACGCATTTATGCCTGTCATTAATTATTACATCATTATTAATTTCATTTAATTTTCAACCAATGTATTCGCCAATAAAATAATTGAAGCACATAAAACTACATTTAATGTTATATATAAATTTAGGGTCTTGTATTACTATGTAAATAATGATCTGTCCTTCCATAGGCCTAGTTAGTTAAATAGGGCCTAAAGCAATAACATTCCTAATAATAACCAGGTTCATGTTGAGGATGGTGTTTTTTTTTAATGTCTTTCGCGTATTTTGTTCAGCTACCTTATATTGCTCTGTCATTTAGGAAATACGATTAGACCGGTGGAAACGATGATTATAGTGTGGTCTGAAAATCTTTGTATCTCTCCTGCTAACAAAGTGCTCCCATGTGTAATGCTACAATGTAGACAATGTGGATGTACACGTCATTGATCGTTATTTCTCTTTACTTTTACTATTTACAGGGAGTGATGACTCAGGTAGTCCAAGATCCGCATCCCTCAAGCCGAGAAAGAAGCGTTCTAGGGCAGCATTCTCGCATGCTCAAGTGTTCGAATTAGAGCGGCGTTTTAGCCACCAGCGATACCTTTCGGGACCCGAGAGAGCTGATCTAGCGGCCGCCTTGAAACTCACCGAGCAACAAGTCAAAATATGGTTCCAAAACAGACGCTACAAAACCAAGAGAAAGCAAATCGCTGCAGAGCTCATGACTCCACCAGCCAAAAAGGTAGCAGTCAAAGTACTTTATAGTGACGGACCAAGACTATTTTACTCAGACTTACCAAGCGTACCTGCATGCACCCCGTGCGGACTCGCCCCTTCACCGTACTGTACAGGCGTGCCCTACACATTATGGGGTCAAGTACCACATTTTGGAAGTATTCTACCAGTATTCGGTAAATGAGAACCAAATATGAACTTTCGCCATACGATCTGTAAATAATATTTTTAATTATTGTATATTTGTAAATAGAAAAAAAGAACGTTAAATAAATATATCAAAATACATGTTACTGTAGGTTATCGTATTGTAGATGAGTGTGAGGGTGTGTCTTAGAGTGTCATGATTGTGTGCTATGATAGGTCTTACAGGCCTACAAAGAGAGCTCTAATAAGCCTATATAAATTTATATATAGGCCTATATATTTATATATAGGAATATATATAAAATATACCGGTAACCTATGTAGACCTGTATTATATAGAGTCATATATATTGTACACTGCATAGGCCTTTATAATATAGGATCGGATTATTAAAGCACATATACTGTAGGCCTATTTATATGCCTTAAAATAGCTTTAGTCCAATGTTAAATGTGTTATAGGCCTACATATTTTCTTGATTTATATTTGTAAGACAAGTTATATTCGAAGTGATGTTCTAAATTGTTAATAGTGTCACAATAATCGTCACTTAAAAATTATAAAATCGTATTCGTACCTGATCATAGGCCTAGTGATCCATTACAAATGCTTCACAGCTGAGGTAAATAGTCTGTATTTATTTTTTTTGATAGATTAATATAATAGAACAATAAATTTATTAAAAATACGCAATTCTTATATTCATTACCGTATTGGCGGGTGAATTGGATACCAAAAATTGAATTTTTTTTTCGCTTTTTCAATCAAACGACAGAATTTTGTTAGTTTCGTTGAGATTAATAAATTATGAGAAAGCATTTAGTCAGGAATATTGTGTTACCAGTACTTGATTTCGACCAAATTATAACGACTAGCTTGTAAGCACCAGTTGTTTTTAGGCCTATATGATGCAAATTAGGCTTAGCAGATGATTGTATAATTTCCTATTTTGAAGATGTATTGGTCAAATGCTGTAAATCTGTTTCTATAAATTGCCAGTGGGATGTTTAAAATAGAAGATGAATATTTCATGTATTTAATATTTGATATTTTCCCATAGTATTATGGGTAATGCGTTATTATAAGTAATACAATGGTTGATATTGAGAAAGCAAAAATATCAGAAAAAAATAGAAAAGTTGAAAAGAATTATTTTTCCAATCATGGAGATGTTAGGCCTGTCTGATGTTTTACCGCCTTGATGACATAACCCACGTAATGAGCAGGTGTGAAGCGAAGAGTGGTGAATCTTCCTTAAAAAAGTTTTTAAACCTAAAGGCTAGTTTTCATAGTAGAAAGGCTGATGATAATTTAGCCTGTAGGCTGCGTGGATTTAATTGAGAGGACAAGGCACAGCACGATATACGTTGCATTGTGACGAATCTAACAAAAAAGCTGTTAAAGTTTACACCTAGGTGAAATCTTAACTAAATCGGGGACGTGTTGTGTATTGTATTCGGACGTTGTCTCGTGCAGCCTAATGGTTATTTTCTCATTAGTCTTACAAGAGTTACTAATTAGAAGCAATCTTCCCAGTCTTCGCCCAATTGAACACACTTAAGCATCAGACCACATTTGTAGGCTAACATATCCTACTTAAGCAGTGATCAAGTGATAAAGTTTCGCCTGAGTGGAGACATTAGATGTGTTTAAGTATTTCGTAGGCCTACAATTAATTAGTAAGCCTATAAATGAAAACATCCATTTAGTAATGATGCAATCAAGAAATAAAAGTTTAAATTAACATCAGCTATTGGAATTTTGTTTTTATTTTTTTTTTCTGTATTTATATTTGCTCAGTTGGGGTTTTCCATTTTTCGTGCTCAATTCTCTTTCTAATTGGCTTCACCTCAGTTTTTGTTCACACCACCACACTGTGTGTGACCGTAGATTTTACAATAACGTGCCGTACAGTAATAATAACTTCCGCCACATTCGTAGTACTGTAATAACTTGTACATTACCTTCTAAAATTAATTTTAATATTGTCATATTAATGAGTATCAAAGTTCAGTAAGATCTAAAATTTTAAGTCTCATTTTCTTTCTAATTAATCATACACTAATTAGTTAATTAATTAATGCATGCATTTATTCATCCTCTACTTATATTATAAAATAAATGATGTCCTAAATAAAAACTTCCAAATCATTTTGGATACGACAATATTGTAATAATTTCGGCTTCTCGTGCAATAAATACAGTATTGCATGCATCATGTTCGGGCGTTGCCCATGATGTTGGTTTAGTAAAAAAATTAATGAGGATATATTATCTGTACTCGATGTAGACATTCATGCCTACATCTAGGCAAGCATCTAGGCCGATTAATTGTCTTAAGCAATTCTATTCTTATCAAAATAAAATTTTGTGCTTATTTTATAATTGAATTTAATGCTACTACCGAACAGTTGCAAAATCAATGTTAACATATTAACAGTTCAGTCGCGGTGATGTACGTACATTCTGTCGGATATTTTTTATGCTTCAGAATACAGGGATTACCATTGACACACTACGTTCTCAGCAACAACTTTTAAAATTGCCTTCTTTCCTACCCCACTCCGGGCTGATTCAATTTACGTGTGCCGTGAGTATGTGTTACTACCACCGGCCCCTGGGGAGTTTGGAACAACCGCTACTCGATCGTTCGTACGCTGTGTGTAGTGTAAACCACGATGACTTTACACAACGGCTTGTCAAAAGCAATACAAATCTGCCAGGCAAGACACAACCAACTCTTGGGCCTATCGTCAACCCGTGGATGACTTGCAATATAGCAAAATTAACGTAATTTTGTCGCTGAAACTCAGCGGTGACTTGATAAAATCTATTTCACTCAGAATTTTCAGATTAAAAAATTAGACTTCAAATCGAAGCGGGAATAAACATTATTACTATATTTTCAACACAATTATTATCCACAACGGACAAATTCAAACATCACAATAGGCCTATACCGTATATACTCTATTTACCTAACCTTTCGACGCTTACTAGGCCTAATAAAATAATAATGACCCAGCATGTATAAAAAATTGCAGGACTAAAATCCTTAAAATTTAAAATGTTAAAATCTTAAGTGAGGGTTGTAGTACAAGCATCACTTGACTTGGTCCTATTGATAATTTCAATTGATATTGACACGACAGTCTCGAGAACATACAAGCCACTTAACTGAACTTTCGAACTTACTGATAAAGTTTCAGCGAATTTGTTTCATCAAATTGCAAATCCCAGCTATATGTTTGACCTAAGTGAACACTAAAATTTATGCTAATAAAAAGTTCCGTGATTCGTATGACATTTTAAAAAATTAGACACATTAATAAAAGCAAATGAATGAGTTTTAGGAGCTTAATTATAATTGGTTGATATAACAAAACTAAATTACAACACTTATTCGAGGCACAAATTAAGAAATAAATTACAATGACAAAGGAAAAAGTAAAACAGAACATTACATTTATGATTCTTAAAACCACAACGGAAATGTTTATTAATTATAATCAGATAAAACCATTAATATTTACTTGAAGAACTTAGGCCTACACATTTTTAGGGTAAACGGAAAAATAACATCAACCAGATAACATATTAGTAGATTAAAAACAACGATAACAAGTTTACATATAGAGAGGTTAGTGAACATTTTATTGAATGACGTAATTCGTGACATTTAGAAACAAGTCATCATCAAGGTATATAATAGACACTATATCATAGCCTACTCTTGTTTTTTTTTTTTTGTAATAGAGGACCTGTTTGTAGGAGACCTGCTGTTATCAACAAAGAAAATCAGTGACAACTGCAAAGCATTATTCACTTGTTTATACATTATACTTTTTTGCAGGCCTCAATAGGATTATCATTTGGTACCGATATTTAGCTATCTAAGTAGTAGCCTATACTCCCATTTGCCAATTGTTTCACCAACAAGTAATTGAATATCGAATTTGAAATTGATAACAAAATGAAAATAATTTTATCCTATGATATAAAATTTTACCCTTAATTTTTATATTAGACGTGCTTTACCTATTTTTTCTTTTAAGTCTAAATATTATACTTGTGCATGAGTTCGAACATTATTACTGTATTTATCCAGTGAAAAACATTGGGGGATCTTAAAACCTCTTTTACCAGGTCCTATAATGCTCTTAAAATGATAAAACTATAAAAGAGTCTACTAATAGTAAAACCTTCACATAAACTAGTTAGGAGTTAGGCCTATATAATAACTAAATAAATTATAAAATAACGGAAATAAAAGTTTCAAACTTTCAAAATTTTAGGCCTACTTAAATGATTAAAATTTAAGTAAAAGTTAAAATAAGAAACGGATCTATATGATGGAGCATGATATAAACTGGCGTTAATTTATAACTGCAAGATGAAGGTTATTGAGCAAGTAAAGCCGGAGTGCCAATCTGTGATTCAATCGTTGCAACTCAACCATATCTAAAGTACACATCTCACTGATGTTAACATCAAGTTCTTGTTTCCGGGCAATTCGTCTGTTAAGTAGAGTCGTATATTACGGTATTAACGTGCATGATACAATTCCCTTGATTGTATTCTGAGTATGCAAGTATATCGTAATAGGCATAGCTCTCAATACAACTTTATCATAGGCATATTCTTATAATAATTAAATTATATAGGCATATTATACTACATGCTTTTTTTAAATATAACACATTTTATAAGAAATGAGGCTGAAATTGCTTAAATATTAAGAACAAAATTAGAACAAATTGAGGCTGAGGTAAAATGTTTGAAAATGAGGTTTTCATTTTTTTTATACTAGAAAAAAAAAAACAAACAACAAGTCTTGTACCTTTGTGCGGTAGGTGTGACTATGCAATACTCCCTATAATACAGTAGGCCTTTTTTAATATGCTGCCGTAATAATGATTTTAAAATTTGAAATCATTGAGAAAATAGAAGTTACTGTAAAATGCACATACATTAAGGAAAAATAATTACATCAACAATTTTTATTTAATTCCATTTACCAAATTTTCAATTTTAATATCAATTATTAGCTAAAAAAGGTATATACAAGGGCCAATGGGTTCGTTTATACCAACAAAGTAATAATTATCACCCTATATACTTTTAAACTTACAATAATTAGAGTAGGCCTACTCTCCTTATAGGCCTACACCCAACATATTTCACCTCAACACCTTAATCTGATTCAAGATTTAAGCAAAATGTGTCGCTACATTGAAACTAAACTATTATCATTCAGTGATGATTGAAACAATTCTGGCATCATCATTGCCATCATTATTATCATCATCGTCGCATCATCACCGTCGTATTCGTCGTTAACGATATCATCATCACAATCATCATCATCGTCGTCAACAAATCATCATCATTATATTATATTTAATTATTCTCATAATAATATTAATAATAACAATAATCAAATAATAATTATAATAATAATAATATGACAATGATAATGATAATACTACTACTACTACTACTACTACTAATAATAATAATAATAAAATAGTAATGATAATGATAATAATAATAATGATGATAATAATAATAATAAAAATAATAATAATAATAATAATAATAATAATAATAATAATAAAAATAATAATAATAATAATAATAATAATAATAATAATAATAATAATAATAATAATAATAATAATAATTCTGGATTTATATAGCGCCTCACGTTGACACAACCTCGAGGCGCTTAACAACAACAGAGAAGAATAAAAATTAAGTTGAAATGATTGGTTTGATGATTATGAATAAATGTTATTATTACAATGCTTTGGTAATAGGAATCATTTCAAGGCCTGTTACTTTCCTATTCATCCCAAATCCTTTCATTTTTCTTTCCCTTTTGCTTCTTGTCTTTCTTCCTTTCCCTTCAAATGTTCCTGATCTTTACTTTTCTTGTCCTTTCTTATAATAATCGTAATAATAATAATAATAATAATAGTAATAATAATATAGAATTATATGCGTTTTCTTCTATTTTGATAGTTGTAGTTACATTTGATTAGTTCGTACAAATTGGAACAATTTACACACTAGCCGCTTCGATCATGGTTAGTTCAACAGTTCTGGTGATTAATATTATAGTTGTAATTTCTCATTACAATCTCGCTAAAAAAGAAATGGCTTATCTTATCTTAATTCGAACCATGTAATCACAAATTACACGGGATATCCAGTCGTTATTAGTAATTGCGTTAGATAATTACAGTTAGGTCTGATAGACGTGAGCAAAATGACACAGGTATAAATAACAACAGTAAACAATTTGTGTAGAGAATTATTTTAAATTTATATAATTCGTGCAATAAATATTAATTTGCAGGGGAAAGATTCATAAAATGCTAATTAAGAGTACTCTTATATACTTATTGTATAAACTATATATTCTTATATACATAATGTATAAGCCTACATATTATATATTTACCATTAAGTAAATAAAAGTAGGTCCTCTTACAGTCGAGCAATGGAGGACTAAACAAATTGATATGTTATACAACTGATTTTCTAAGACGCAACAAGCATTTGTCGAAAAACTCCGGAACGGTTAATGCCATACAGATTTCTGAATATTTAAAAACTGGGGGGAAAGTGTGGTTACGCCTTTTTTGTTTCCTTCGGAGCCGGCCAGATTTTAATAACGTTTTATGAATGGTTTACTCGCAAGTTAATATTTAATGCAGGAATTATATAATTACCCTGTATTATTT